AGTTAATGAAATGTAGAAAACAGAGAATAAACAGTTAAAGCATAAAAGGAAATTGATGAATGATTATATCCTGGCGAAAGAAATGCACTTTGCAGATTTTTCAGCAATGGCAAACCACTTCTCTGGAGGAAGGGGATTTTAAGCCCCTCCCCAGCAGAGCAAGAGACGACCTGTTCTCATGTGCCACAATGAAGGGGCATCTCTAAAGAGGCCCGTGGTAGACATCTTCACAGAGTATCCAGTTGTGATACCCACATTGCAAAAAAAAATTGTTGAGAGTTTGGGAAAAGTGTGAAGAAGAGCAACTGAGAAGATTAAAGGCCTGGAGACTAAAACATATGAGGAACGGTTGCAGGATTTGGGTTTGGCCAGTCTAGAGAAAAGAAGGACTGGGGGGGACATGATCAGAGGTGGGTTTCAGCAGGTTCTGACCAGTTCTGGAGAACCGGTAGCGGAAATTTTGATGGTAGTAAAAATTCTGACTAACCCTGCCCCCATCTATTCTCTGCCTCCCAAGTCCCAGTTGATTGGGAGGAAATGGGGATTTTGCAGTATCCTTCCCCTGCCACGCCTACCAAGTTACACCCACAGAACTGGTAGTAAAAAATTTTGAAACCCACCACTGGACATGATGGCAGTCTTCCAATATTTGAGGGGCTGCCATAAAGAAGAGGAGGTCAACTTATTCTCCAAAGCACCCGAAGGCAGGACAAGAAGCAACGGAGCTTGGAGTCCTAGTGGACAATCACTTTAACATGAGCCAGCCGTGTGCAGCAGCAGCCAAAAAAGCCAATGCAATCCTACATTGCATTAACAGAGGGATAGAATCAAGATCAAGTGAGGTACTAATACCACTCTATAAAGCCTTAGTAAGACCACACTTGGATTACTGCATCCAGTTCTGGTCACCACACTATAAAAAAGATGTGGAGACTCTGGAAAGAGTGCAGAGAAGAGCAACAAAGAGGATTAGGGGACTGGAGGCTAAAACATATGATGAACGGTTGCAGGATTTGAGTTTCGCTAGTTTAATGAAAAGAAGGACTAGGGCTGACATGATAGCAGTAGTCCTCGACTTATGGCCACAATTGAGCCAAAACTTGCACTGCTAAACGAGACGGTTGTTAAGTGAATTTTTGCTCCATTTTTCAACCTTTCTCACTACAGTTGTTAACGTGATTCACCACCGTTGTTCAGTTAGTAAGACAGTTGTTCAGTGAGTCTGGCTTCCCCATTAATGTTGATCGTCAGAAGGTCACAAAAAAGAGTTCTTCACATGACTCTGGGACACTGCGACGGTCATAAATATGAGCCGGTTACGAAGCATCAGAATTTTGATCACCTGACCACAGGGATGCTGCAAAGGTCGTAACTGTGAAAAACGGTCATAAGTCACTGTTTTTCAGTGCCATTGTAACTTTGAACGGTCACTAAACAAAGTTGTAAATCAGGGACCCTCTGTATCGCTCCTTAGTGCTTTACAGCCCTCTCTAAGCAGTTTACAATGTTGGCATCATTTTTGCCCCCAACAATCTGGGTCCCCCTTTTATTACCAACCTGGGAAGAACGGAAGGCTGCAGGCTGTTAATGCTGCTTAGATGTTCTGCATCCAGACATGTTCAGAGCTTTTACTGGAAATTCGTTTTTATTGGACTGCTTGTAAATATTTACTCTACATAACTGGATGGAGTGGTGTAGGCTTTCCTTGCGTTGTTTAGTTTGGGAGGAAAAAAAGAAATGAAAACACCCAAGTGTTAACACAGGAATTGTCAGATCAGGATCTGAGCGAATAACTTGACACACACACAAAAAGGAAACGAGAACTTAGAGGAGATTGTTCTTGGGCAGGTTCCAGGCATCCAGTTTGACTGAATTATGTTATGCTATTAATAAACCTTACCAAGTTATGCGTTTCTAAAAATGTCTAGGGTTTTTTTGGGGGGGGGGGTTTGTTTTTTGTTTTTGGTAGAAAAATGCAATAGCATTTTAGAGAAAAAGGAGAAGGGGCAGGATCCTCAGGCATCCCCAGGGGTGGGACAGAGATGGGGGTCTGGGAGACAAGCTTCAATTTTTGAGTCAGATAATCATTTATGCAGTGTGTTCCAAAAATCGGCCTTTTTTAAAAAAAGATTTTTATCTTGGCTCCTTTTTCAGACGATGAACATCCTCCCACAACCCTGTGAGGTGGGCTGGGTTGACAGACTGGCCCCAAGTCACACAGATAGCTTTCATGCCTAAGGCGGGACTAGAACTCACTGTCTGTCTGTCTGTCTATTTGTTTGTATCTATCTGCCAGTATTTATCTATAATATGCTACCCATCTTGCTGTTTGGGGCAGACTTTAAGCATAGGTAGGTAGGTAGAGAGAGAGAGATGATAGACAGACAGACAGACAGACAGACAGACAGACAGACAGACACTGTAGAGCAGGGGTCTCCAACCTTGGCAACTTTAAGCCTGGAGGACTTCAATTCCCAGAAAGCTGGCTGGGGAATTCTGGGAGTTGAAGTCCTCCAGGTTTAAAGTTGCCAAGGTTGGAGACCCCTGCTGTAGATGAGAGCGAGAGAGAGGTAGAGATATTTATTTTAAATATTGAATTTATTTGCCACCTATTTTGCCATGGGGGCTACTCTAGGCGGCTTACAATGATAAAGAGACAGACAGACAGATGAGAGAGATACATGAGAGAGAGGGGGAGACAAAGATAGATGTGTTATGTGAGAGAGGGGGGGGAGAAAGAAAGAAAAAGAAGGAAGGAAGGAAGGAAGAAGGAAGGAAGGAAAGGAAGGAAGGAAGGAAGGAAGGAAGGAAGGAAGGAAAGAAAGAAAGAAAGAAAGAAAGAGAAAGAGAAAGAAAGAAAGGAAGGAGAGAGAGAGGAAGAAAGAGAAAGAAGAGAGAGAGAGAGAGAGAGAGAAGAATAGAATTATGGGGAACTAGATGTAGAAATTGGGGCTGACTTTTCGAAAACTCCCTCTGCACCCTCTGAGGCTGAACATAACTGCCGAGATTGCGATTGATTTTCTCCTGCTGCCCTTGTCTGCTGGGATGACTGGAGGAGACGCCTGGGCTTTTATGATGAGCCTCCAAAGGAGGAGAGGCTAAATATAGCAAGCCGAGGCCCCAGCTGGTCTCCGGAGGTCGGCTCATCTAGGGATGGGGTCATAAAACCCTGGAGATCTTCTAGTCTATCCCCCTGCCTAGGACAGGACATCTCTTCAATGGAAATTTTCAAAAATAGACTGGACAACCACTTGATTGCAGTGATAAAAATCTCCTGCTTGAGAAGAGGCTGGACTAGAAGACCTCCAAGGTCCCTTCCACCTCTGGTATTCGGTTATTCCCCTTAGGCAGCCCAAGATTAAGACGCCTGGAGTCCTTCTTAACATTCCTTCCATTCAGCATCTCATTCTCCGGCGGTTTCCACCATGGGCCAAGAGAATTCCATCAACGTCAGCCAGTGTAAACAACTAAGCGGAATAAACGGACACCGCTTTGTGTCCAAATAATGGATAAAAGCAGCGATTAACTAAGTCGGTGACCTGAAACCATCCACAGGCCCAGCCAAGCAGGGGAACATCGGGAAGCAAACTGAAAGTTGCAATAAATTGTATTATTTGAATTGGTGCCCGAAAGACGGGCTGCCCAGTTTGACCAGTGCAGTTCAGCTTCCATGCATTTTCTGGGCTGCTTCCAAAAAGTTGATCGGGTTGGGTTGCAGATCCCATCAAGCGGCCCCAGGCCCGAGTAGGTTTCACCCAGGAGTAACCAGTGTGGTGCAGTTGTGCTGTGTCCTTTAAGTCACTCTTGGCCTGTTTTTATTGACTGTGAACCTCTGCGCTTTGCAGAGCCCAGGTTCGTTTAAAGACAGTGTGAGTCACTTAATTGTGGTGATTTGTTTAACAACCTTGGCAAAAATGGTTGTGAAATCTCACTTAAAAACCACCTTGCTTTTAGCAAGAGAAATTCAGGTCCCAATTGTCGTCGTAAGTCAAGGACCGCCTGTAACGTCTGCTCCATCTAAGGAACCTCCCCCAGCAAGAGAAGCCAGGGATGGCGGTTGCAGTGGTCAGGAAGTCCTCGACTTACAACAGTTTGTTTAGTGACTGTTCAAAGTTACAACGGCACTGAAAAAAAGGATTTGAAAATTAGAATTTTTATAGATTTTCACAGTTAACGACCATTGCAGCATCCCCATGGTCATGTGATCAAAATTCAGACGCTTGGCAACTGACTCATACTTATGACGGTTGCAGTGTCCCGGGGTCACATGACCCCCCTTTTGTGACCTTCTTTCAAGCAAAGTCAATGGGGAAGCTGGATACACTTAACAACAATTTGACTAATTTAACAACTACAATGATTCACTTAACAACTGTAGCAAGGAAGGTCGTAAAATAGGGCAAAATTCACTTAACAAATGTCTTGCTTAGCAACAGACTCCATGGTGGTCATAAGTCGAGGACTACCTGTATTTAATGAGTCGGATCTTGCTAGCAGTTCTCGGTATGCGTCCTGATGGATGGAGAGTTTGCCAGTGGGCCCAGATGTCTGCTCACAGTTCCCTGGCGTATTTTGCCCCATCTTCCCCAACTGCCACCTCCACATGTCTTGGACTACAATGTACATCATCCCCAGCCAGCAGTAATATGGGCTTGTTAGCAGGGGGATGGCCAACGTTCTGTGCAAGTCGTAGCAGACCAGCCCTCATCAAAGCAGAACCATCTGTGGAGGCATTTCAGTGAGACTTCCTGCGCCAAGTGGAGGGTTGAGCTGGATGACCTCAGGGACCCCCTTCCAGGGGGAGTTTTCTAGGCACAGCTGGAAGGATTACACAGAAGAGTTGAGGAAGCCGAAGCCAGTGGAGCTTTCTGGGCCATTTAGGGACCCCGTTCCCATTGCCAGGAGAGATTTGCCCACTGCAAAATATCCCGTGTGCCTCTGGGCTGGTTGCCCAGCCCTGCCCACTGCCTGGCATGACTTAGCAGGGTGAGGTAGTGAAGAGCAGGGGGCTCCTGATGGCACCTGGCTCTGCCTTCCTCGCCCAGCCAGTGGCCCAGACGATTCCCCTGCTGGGGTCCCCCCACCTTCGCCAGCTCCGCCGATGTGCCTTGCCGTCGTCCAGAAACCCGAAGTTGCTGGCTGCCGTGCCGCCGGTGAACCAGCGTGGAAGGGAGGCTGCGCGGTGGCGGATGGGCTCGCCTGAGCATTTGTTGAACTCTTTCCCGGCACGACAAAGGCCTCCTTGTCTCCTCCGTCAGCAAGCGGGACCCCTATTGTCCTGGGGGCGCCGCGAACCTGCCGAGCCCGCCGGCAGGGCGGGTGAGTTCGGGGAGCCGTTGGCCAAGTCCGGCCAAGGCTTAGACTGCTGGGTTGTGGGGGTTCATGTGGGGGAGGAGTTGTCTTCCAAACAATGCACCGGAGCAAGCGGGGTTCGTGCTGTGTGCAGCGCAAGGAACGTGTTGGCTGTTGGAGGCTTGTCTCCGAATGGCTCAGCGCGAGTCTCTCTGCACATGCTTTTGGGTGGCAGAGCTAAAAGTGCAGGCAAAGGGCTGTTGGTGTTGGCAGGAACGATTGCAGGCTTTTGGTGTGTGTGTGTGTGTGTGTGTGTGTGTGTAGCTTCCTGTGCAGTTTAAGGTGTTATAAGTTGTCGGTCCAAATCCCTGTGATGTCGAGTTTGAGCTGGTTAAGGAGGCCTATAGTCTCCAGGAATCCCCTGATCCAAGGGATGAAGCAGCCGCCCCCATGATAGCAACTGAAGGGTGTGGGGGGGGGGGTCAGCCCTGCCCCATTTCTGAGTGCGTCCAAGCCAAGAGGGGGGTCCTCTGCTCCCACCCAGCTTCTGGATATGCGGCTGCTTTGATTGCTCTGCTTTCACTCACCCAAAGGGGATGAGAAGCCTCCATGCACGGGAGACCGGCCGGCCGTTCGGCTGATGGGTGCAGAGAGGCGGAGGGCTGGAGGGGTGACTTTCTCTGGCAAAGGCAGCCGGCAGAGCTGGGAGACCTGCCCGAGCCTGCCCTGCAAAGAGGCTGTGAGAAGATAGGAAAGCCTGGATCCAGCCGGGCTGTGCTGAGCGCTGGGCTCTCTCTTGGCTCTCAGAATAGCATAGTTGGAAAGGACCCTGGAGGTCTTCTAGTCCAACCTCCTGCTTAAGCAGAAAACTCTACACCATTACAGACAAGTCGCTGTCCAGCCTTTTCTTAAAAGCCTCCAGTGATGGAGCCACCCACAACTTCTGGCGAGAAGCCATTGTTCCACTAGGAAATTCCTCCTTAGTTCTACGTTGCTCCCTTCCTTGATTAGTTTCCATTCGTTGCTTCTTCTCCCGCCTTCAGGGGCTTTGGAGAAGAGGTTGGCAGCCCCTCAAATATTGGAAGACTGCTATCATGTCTCCCCTAGTCCTTCTTTTCCTTAAACCAGACATGCCCAATCCAATTTTGATTGACACAGTATAAAAAAGATGTGGAGACTCTAGAAAGAGTGCAGAGAAGAGCAACAAAGATGATTAGGGGACCGGAGGCTAAAACATTTGAAGAAAGGTTGCAAGAACTGGGTATGTCTAGTTTGATGAAGAGAAGGACCAGGGGAGACAGGATAGCAGTCTTCCAATATCTCAGGGGCTGCCCCAAAGAAGAGGGAGTCAATTTATTCTCCAAAGCACCTGAAGGCAGGACGAGAAGCAACGGGTGGAAACTAATCAAGGAGAGAAGCAACCTGGAGTTAAGGAGAAATTTCAGTGGAACATCCTGCCTTTCAGAAGTTGTGGGTGCTCCATCACTGGAGGCTTTTAAGAAGAGACTAGACAGCAGTTTATCCAGAACGATTCAGGGTCTCCTGCTTGAGCAGGGGGTTGGACCAGATGACCTCCAGGGTCCCTTCCAACTCTGTTATTCTGATCTGCCTTGTACTCTTCTTCTCATTTTCTGTTTATCACTTCATATGCTAAGTGGAGAGTTTGTGGATGTAAATAGGGACACGATGTCCCATTGAGACTGTGATCCCTCTTGGGTCCCCCAGCAGCCCCTCGGTGCTCAGCCAGGCTGCCGGGGGCCCCTGTCGACAGGTGAAGTGGGGCCACGGCCTGCATGGCGTCATATACCCGATGACACCCCTCTGCACCCATCATCCTTTTGACGTCATCGTGGCTGTAGGAGACACGTCCACAGCCTGCTTGCCCCCTCCTTAAATGAAGTCAGTAATGACACCCCGAAAACAGAGACAGGCACGTTTATAGGACATTAAGTATTTAATTGCACTGCTGTTTTGTCTGCAATTAATTAAACTATTATCGGCGTGGTACTCTTCTTCTCTGTCACTCCCAGGAAAAAGAGGTAATAAGTTGTTTTTGGACTGAAGGGAGGTCTGGAGGCCTTTGGCTACTCCTCAGAGAGCCCCCCCCCCACTGCTGCCTTTCACCTGCTTTGCTGTTTGCCTTCCCAAGTGCTAAAAGGGGAATTCCCTCCTCAGCCTCAATTAAGGATACAGGAAGCAGCTTCCCATGGGGGTAGGGGTGCTAGGGGGGTGACCTCATCCGGCCATGCATGATGTTAATGCATCCTGGGGGCTCAGGGCGGTGGGTGGGTGGGCAGCCAGAGCCCCAGGGTATCTGGGAGTGGAGAAGGCCAGTTGAAAAGCTGCTGCTGTCCCTTTCCCTCTCTTGCCTGGGTCTTTCAACAAGGAGGGAGGGGACAAGAAGATGCAACATCTTAATTGTGGGTTAGAATAGCTGATCGCTATTTTAACCAACAGTTAAGATGATGGGGCTTCTTGTTCCCTCTATCCTTGTTTAAATTGTTTAACTTAATTGTTTAACCAACAATTAAGTTCTATTTAAGTTCTATTTAAATAGAACTGATTGGAAGTTCTATTTAAGACATTGTGGCTTAATGTGGGTCTGTTTCCCCCCCCTCTCTCCCCATGCATCCCTCCTCTTTGATGGTCTTCTCTGGTCATGGCCATCCCTCTGCCAGCCAATGGCAGCTCCTGCAAAGCGTCTCATTTGGTCTTCTCAGTATAAGAGAACAGAATAACAGAGTAGGAAGGGACCTTAGAGGTCGTCTAGTCCAACCCACTGCCCAAGCAGAAAACCGTATAACATTTCAGACAAATGTCTGTACAGTTTCTTCTTAAAAACCTCCAGTGATGGAGCATTTACAACTTCTGGAGGGAAGCTGTTCCACTAGTTGGTTGTCCTCACAGTTAGGAAGTTTCTCCTTAGTTCCAGGTTGCTTCTCTCCTTGATGAGTTTCCATCCGTTGCTTCTTGTCCTGCCTTCAGGTGTCTTGGAGAATAAGCCAACTTCCTCCTGCTATGCTCTGCAGGAGAGGCCATCTTTCCTACTTTTCATTGCTTTAATATTTTTGTCATGCGTCCCCTTGCATTTCATCCCCCTCCCCAGTCCAGATCTTCCAAAAGCCCTTTAAAAGGCCAAGGTGGCATCTCTCTGGTTGCAAGCAGAAGAAGGGGAGATGCTCCTTTCCTGAGGTCCAGACTCATGCCTGCCCCCCTTCCCGTACCAAGGGGTGCAACCAAAGGGAAGCATGGACCCACTAGAAAGACAGAAAGTCCTCCACTTATGCTCACAATTGAGCTCAAAATTTCTGTTCACTAAACAAGATCGTTGTTAAGTGAGTTTTTGCCCCATTTTACGCCTTATCTTGCCACAGTTGCTAAGTGAAGCACTGCCATAACATGGTTGTCCAGTGAACCTGGCTGACTTGGCTTGTCAGAAGGTCGCAAAAGGGGGATCCGGGACACTGCAACTGTCATAAATGTGAATCAGTTGCCAAGCATCTGAATTTTGATTAGGTGGCCATTGGGGGTTGCTGCAAATAAGTGTGAAAAACGGTCATAAATCACTTTTTTCAGGGCCATTAACTCTGAATGGTCACTAAACGAATGGATGTAGGTCAAGGACTCTTAATTGTTGGAGCTCTCATTTCAGACCCTAATTTCATGGGGGGTCATGGAAAGGAGGGATCAAATGAATATCCCCAAACTAAAAACAACAACACGGCAATCATCCAAGAACTTGGCACCAAGCTCCTTACTGCAAAAAGCTAAGACAATGTTAGAAATGGATTCTGGTGACTGCTGGGTGTGAAACCTGAGCTCCATTGATAGGGACAGGAGATAGCAGGGTCCCAGTGTTTTGAGAGGCTGCCACAAAAATCCTCCAATATTGGAAGATGCTATTAGGGCTCCCCTAAGCTTTCTCTTCCTTAGGTTAAACATAGTACACAGTTCCCTCAACCATTCATCATACAGAGCCCTGATTATCCTAACTGTCCTCCTTTCCTCTCTTTCTAACATCTTAGTATTGTGGTGAGCAGAACTGTTTGCAGTATTTTAAGAAGGACTAAGGGGGACATGAGAGCAGCATCCCAGTGTTTGAGGGGCTACCACAAAGAAGAGGGATGGGGTCAAACTATTCTCCAAATACACACCTGAAGGCATGACACGAAACAATGGACAGAAACTCATCAAGGAGAGAAGCAACTTGGAACTCAGGAGAAACTTCCTAACAGTGAGGACAATTAACCAGTGGAACTGCTTGCCTCCAGAAGTTGTGGGTGCTCCAACACTGGACATTTTTAAGAAGAGACTGGACAGCCATTTGTCCCAAATTGTATACAATCTCCCGCTCAAGCAGGGGGTTGGACTAGAAGACCTCCGAGGTCCCTTCCAACTCAGTTATTCTGTTAATTAACCAGTGGAACGACTTCCCTTCAGAAGTTGTGGTTGCTCCAACACTGGAGGTTTTTAAGAAGAGACTGGACAGCCATTTGTCTGAAATGGTGCAGGGCTTCCTGCATGATCAGGGGGCTGGACTAGAAGACCTCCAGGGTCCCTTCCAATTCTGTTCTTCTCTTCTGTTCTGAAATTGGGATTGCAATGATAGCAGTCTCTCCTCCCCCCTCCCCATTATGTTCAAAAAAGGGCTAGAAACTATTGTCTCTTGTGTGTAAGGAAGGGCGTTTAATGAGTGCCCTTGTGCCCCGGCTGACAAATGCCACCGCCCTACCGAAGGGCCAATTATTGATGGAGGTGGGCTTCAGGTCGGCAGCTTTTGGAAAAGCTGCTTGGAATGAAAGAGAAAAATTTGACACGGCCCATTCCAGTTGGCGAAGCTGGTACTGATCTTGGTGAAATGGATCAATCGAGTCCTTTGATTGGGGAAAAGGCATCATCGACATTTATTGGTGACCAGAAGGCTCTTAGGGACTTTGTGTAAAAACGGGGTGGGGGTGGGTTGGAATGACCTTGTATGTTTTGATAATTAATTTTCTATAAATTATAGAAAGAAGAGTAATGGGGCA